ACAACTTATTAATTTGAAAAAAGAAATATCAAAATCACAAGCCATTCCAAGACCAGTACCCTGAAACTTTCAGTTGCCTTTTGTTTTCCCCACCACCATGCTTTTGTTCCCTGTCTCTCCCATCCCTTACCCTCCATTGACCTCAACCCCTCAAGATTTGTGTTGATGTCCAGGAGTTTTTGAAAGAGTTTTATGTTGCTGAATTATGTTATTTGAATGACCAGTATTTTATAATTCTAATTTGGTGTGTTACAAATAATCATTCTCCAATTTCCTCTATTTGCTGCATTTTATTCTCCCCTGAGAATATGTATTTTTTTTTATTTTAAACCATGTCTACTTCTCCCCTCAGCTATACACACCATAGAACTTCCTCCACCAATTCACCCATGCACCATCACCACATTACCCTGTGCTCATGTCTCTTTCCTCCCAATCCCTTTCCCTCCCCCTCAGCTGCAGAATGTCTCTGGTTTATAATTATCTGTTTGGTGTTATTGTGTTTTGTATGTCATTTTTCCCCTGATGTCTTATTTGTTTCCCCTATAGTCTTCCAATAAGTGAAATAATCAGATATTTTTCTTTTCCCTTCTGACATTTCACCAGACTTAATTCCCTCTTGCTCTAACCATGTTGCTGTGAATGGTATGAGTTTATCTTTTTTGATTGCTGAATATTGTATTGTGCATGTAGACCACATTTTCTTCATCCAAATATCTATTTGGGGACATTTGCATTGTTTCCAGGTTTTACCTATTGCAAATTGAGCTGCAATAAGCATAGAAGTGCAGGTATCCTTTTGAATTAATGTTTATGTCTGTAGGAGTGTAAATTCTAGGTCTTGTGATAGCTCCAATTTTAGTAATCTGAGAAACCTCCATACAGCTTTCCATAGTGGTTGGACCAGTTTGCATTACCACCAGCATTGTAGGAGAGACTCTTCTCACCACATTCTCACCACCATTTATGGTTATATATTTTTTTGATATGCACCATTTTCCCTATCAGGAGGGTGTCTCTTTGTTTTGGTTAAAGTCTCTTTTGCTTTACAGTAGTATTTCAGTGTCATGTAGCCCCAAGTGTTTATGTTTTTTAAAAGATTTATTTATTTATGCATACAAAACTGGGGTACAGGCCAGAGGTGCAGGGGCGATAAGAGGCATCACCAGAGAGAGAAGGGGGAGCAGAACAGGCAGATTAATGAAGTACACTACTGATGGGAGCAGCATGCGGGTCAGGAGATGTCTGCAGCAGCATGTGAAGCACCTGCAGGGCTGGGGATCGAACTCATGTGGAAGTGGCTTTAGCTTCTTAGTGCTGCACCACCAGGGGGAGCCCCCAAGTGTTTATCTTTTCCTTCACCTTCTTTGCTTTGGATGATGAACCTTTAAAGGTGTTACTGAGTTTTCAGCAATATGGATGGAGCTGGAAGGGATCACGCTTAATAAAATAAGCCAGAAAGAAAAAGAAAAGAAAAAGGAAAATACTGGATGGTTTCACTCACTCTAGCAGGAACATAAAGGACCGGGGGGGGGGCGGATAATAATAACGAACAACTATTTACCAGAGACATTTTACGTGAGTAGAGTGGGGAATGGGATAAAAATGGGGGGGGGCGGAGTAGTGCATGGGAGTGTGGTGATGGCACACGGGTGAATTGATGATGGGAAGTTCATGGGGATTACGACCAAAGTTGCAGGGGCTGTGAGAGGCTTCAGCAGAGACAGAGCCCGGAGCGGACCAGGCACACTGATGAAGCACACTGCTGAGGGGAGCAATGGGTGAGACAGGAGAGGTCTGCTGCACCAAACTCCTTATTGAAAATCACAATTTTTTTTACAGTTTCTAATAACTTTTTTATTTTCATTATAAATATATATATATATATATATATTACATCATATTCCATTTTTGTATAATGTGTGCTTTTTCTTCTGTGGTGTCTCCCTATGGTTCCCATCACCAGGTCACCCATGCACCATCATCTTAGTTCCTTGTGCTTTTCCCACCCCTGTTTTGATCTAGCTACCCTCTGCTGCCCCACCCCCAAATTTGAGCAAACAGGATGCAAGGAGATGTGGTATTCAGATCAAAGAATTTGGGGCCAAGTAAGTGCAAATCCTTTCTTTTATTGAGGATGTAACAAGTGAAAGAGTGCCTTTGTGGAGAAAGATTGTAATCTACCCAGTTGCAGGAGTGATGTTTGTTGTTGACTATTCCAGTTACTGAGAAGCTTTCGCTATGTTCATTTCTTTATTTAATGTTAAATTACTGTTTGCCTCAGTTATATCTATGTAACCTTTCTTAACAATTTGAGCTTCCCTTTTGCTTGCCCAACCAGGGAACACAAGACCAGAGTTAGGGTCCAGCTGCTTGGACCTGAAGTTCTGTGAGGAAAAATGTACTAAGTGGAAAAGAGCATTTTGAAAACTGTTCCCCATGAACAAATCAATAACTACAAAAAGATAGGTGGCAAGTTTTTCACAGGACTAAAACTCTCAGTTCCCTGAAGATAAAGCCTTTAATAGAAATAACTTGAATAAT